TTCGAAATTCTTCGAGGGTGAAATCTCTCAAAGAGAACAAAGTTCATATTTTTGGCTGAGAGAACAAATTTCAAGGTTTCGCAGCAAAAATCCCTCACATTTCCAGGATTTCCCTGACTTGACAAGAACTCGCCACCCTGAATTTTCCAACGGCAACACCGGCCGTAGACAAAAGACAGGGTTGCCACAGAATTTAGAAAATGAAATTCCCTGACATTTCCCTGATTTCCCTGACACATTTTGGTGAAATTTCCTGAAAAAATAAAGATGTGGCGGATGGTTAAGAAGGCATAATTGAAAATAGTTTTTACGCAAAATTTCTTGTTCAAAATCTCAAACCCATTCTAGAAAGCAAATAAAGGTGAATTCACAAATTTTCCCTGACATTTTCGTTATTTTACTCACTTTCCCTGACATTGCCCGGTTTTCCCTGACTTTTTAAAATTCCCTGACATTTCCCGGTTTTCCCTGACTGTGGCAACCCTGAAAAGAGGCAAGTGACCTGCAGAGCGAGAACTTTGAAAGTTGAAACACAACGAGTTGAACGAATCAAGAATCGGAATCTAGGTGCAAATACTGGTTTTCCGACTGTAGCCCTGATTCTTTAACATTGGCAACACTGTTTCTCCTCCATTTGAATGCATGTAAAACGATGCACTCCTGGCGAGGAAGCTTGTCTCGACAAAAATCGATATTTTTAATGGAGTTAAATGGAAAAACGTGTGTTGCCAACTTGCATTATCGCCACTGCTGTAGCCACCGATACAGCATGGGTGGATTTTTTTCGCAGTTTAGCCGAGAGAAAGTCCCAACTCGGTCGAGGTCATATCGTTACTCATTTCCCGATGCGATGGTTTTTGCCATTTCGATCATGTCAAAAAAGAAACACACACACACACACTACTCTGCCGTGCTAAGGAAAAAAGCCGTATGAACCTTCAAGCGTTGCCAAATTTCCTCCGATAAAAACCGACTTTCCTAGGAAAATTGTGAAAAGTATTTTCAACATTTTTAGACAATTTTTTACGCAATTTAATCTAAGATACCTGGAGATTTCACCGTAAAATATGCATGAATGCTTTCAAAAATACATGTTCTATCAAGGGAAATTTGTAAACTCTCGAATGTTCATACGGCGTTCTTCCTTAGCACGGCGGTACTTACTGGTGTGCATTCTACGTACTTGAGAGGCAAGTTATTCTCGCATGCTGAGGAAGTACGCCGAGTGAGCCTTTGGACGTTGACAGATTGCCTTCAATAAAAGAAAAGAATTTACTGGAAAAATTTTGAAGATTTTTCTTCAAAATTTTCCGGCGATTTTCTTTGCAAGTTGACCTAAAATATGTTAATACTTCATGGAAATATGAGTGACTTTCCTCAAAAATACATGTTCCAGCGTTGCCACAGAATTTATAAAATGAAATTCCCGGACATATTTTGGCGAAAATCCCTGACAATCGAAGATATATGACAGGTGGTTATGACGACATAATTAAACATAGTTTTCAGGCAAAATTTGTTGTTGCAAACCTCAAACCAATTCTGGAAAGCAAAGGAAAATGATTTACAGAGTTGCCATAGAATTTAAAAAATGAAATTCTCTGACATTTCCCTGACACATTTGGGTGGAATTCCCTTAGAATTGAAGATGTGACGGATGGTTAAGAAGGCATAATTTAAAATAATTCTCAGGCAAAATTTGTTGTTCGAAATCTCAAACCCATTCTAGAATGAAAATGAAGGCGGTTTAACTTTTCCGTGACATGTTCATCATTTTCCATACCATTTCCCGCTTTTCCCTGACTTTTTAAAAAATTCCCTGAATTTAACATTTTCTCTGCAGGGTGTCTACTAAAACAGGCTTGCCAAAAATCAGAACTTTTACAGTGCTTTTTCAGTGCATTCCCGAGAAATTCAGTACTTCCTCAGCAGAAAATTTCAGTACATTTCCAGTGCCTCCATTTGACGAAATTCGGAAAATTTCCAAAATTTGAATTTCTCGCTCAAATTGCGACAATGATGACAAAAAAAATGGAAAAAATTCCGGACCTTCGTGCGGAATTTCCGCACTTTATCAGTACTTCGCCGGACCGCCCTGGAAAAATCAGTACCATTTCCGGACTTCCCGGAAATTCCGAACTTGTAAACATTTTTCCTGACCTGCCCTGACGTTTTCCCTAAAATTTCCCGGTTTTCCCTGACTTTTCAAAATTCCCTGCCATATTTCTCGGTATTCCCTGACTATGGCAACCCTGCAATTTAGTACGGGAAAATTAGACAACTCTCGAACGTTCATACGGCGTTTACCCTTAGCACGGGAATGGTGGCATCGACTTGGAAGTTGGAACTCGACGAAGTTAGCTTTACATTGAAATATGAAAACGAACTACGCTGCCATGCTATGGAAAAACGCCGTATGAACCTTCAGGCTTTGCCAAATTTCTTTTGATAAAACACGACTTTCCCGGTAAATTTAGGAATATTTTCCCTCCAATTTTTCAGATAATTTCGTCCGCAATATCAACCAAAGTTCCTGAAATTTCCAGGGAAAAATATTCATAAATTTCCTCAAAAACTGACATTTTAGTGAAGGAAATTTGGCAACTCTCGAATGTTCATACGACGTTTTTCCTTAACACGGCAGTACGCTACTCACTTAATAATTGAATCGGTTTTTGTTAGACGGGCATATGTCCGAAAACTCATGAGTCCTGGCGCCTTGCATGATCATCGAAAGCCAGGGCTCAAGAGTTATTGGACTTACGCCCATCTAACAGAAACTGATTCAATTACGATCCTGTCCTCAGACGACGGAGCCAAGAGCCTGAGCCAAGGTCGTTGGCGGTCACAATCAGCTGCACTGAGAGCGATTCGCGGGGGACAAAACACGGTCAGATATCGCTTGCGGTCTACCTACAACTACAACGACTCAAGAGCCGCTATTTCGCGAGCCCTCATTTAGATCGCTCCAAGTGGAATTCGGAGCTCAACGGGTGGTGTTGGTTCCACGATTCCATCGCACTCGCGCGGGCATATTTTTCTTGCCTCGAGCGAATTCACTGGGCGTGACCGAGAAGAGACGATATTTCCAAAATCAACCCAGGTGTCCAAACAATTACCGGTGAAAAGAGCTAGTCTGACATGGTCTTCATTTTCCGATTGGGGACTAAAATTTCTGGCTCATCCGTAAAAACACTTATGTGCACAGGGAAACTCATTGCATGTACGTTGTTTCTAAACTATGCCAGAAATTGTAGCTCTAAATTGCAAAAGCTAGCCCAAATTGTCTGTCAGGCTCAATGATTCGGTTCATTTGGAAACCTGACGGGTTTCTTTCTCGTGACCCCTGAAGTCCGTTGGAGAGCTTACAGTGCAGGACCCAGTCTGCCATGTATGAGCCATCAGATGTTGCCGTATTTCCTTCAATGAAAAAGATTTTACTGGGAAATTTGGATGGCTATTTTTCTTTAACTTATTCAATCATTCCTTTTAGCAATTTGATCTAAAATAAATGAAAATTTCAAGAGAAAACATGGATAATTTGCCTCAAAAATTCATGTTTTGTCTGGGGAAATTTGGCAACTCTCGGGTGTTTATACGATGTTCTTCCTTAGCACAGCAGTATTAGAGAGCAATTCTGCCATACGCTGAAGAAAAACGCCCTATGGACATTCACACGTTGCCAAATATCATTTGATATAGCATAAACTTTTCAGAACACCTCAGAAAAAATCCTCAGAGAGTTCGATAAAAGCACTGTGATTTTCAATCAATCAATCAAAAATAAGTTTCCAGGCAAGGGAAGCTCTCCAATATTGCAGAGGCAAGAATTTACACTCTGCCTAAGCACATTGTGCGCTATCAATTGATTCGGCACCAATGATTCCTTGAATTTTGATCCGTTGACACCCCGACAGATGCCCCATTCTCCATGTTACCAGGGATATAAATACAATCACTCCGGAGCAACTTAGCATAACCATTATCAGTCGCTACTGAACAGCTTGCCTATGATTCCATGACAGGGGATTTCTAGATCAAACGATAAATTTCCAAAGTGGGTAAGTATTTTGGAGACGACCTAGGCACTTTCCAAGACTGAACTTCAATATTCATCCTACGTATTTAAAAATCTTCTTGGCACTGTGATTCAAAAGCTACCATTCTAGAATGTCTCAGTATGTACTTTGACACATACAAGCTCAAATGAGTTTGATGTTTACGCAAACATTAATGTATTCACCCCTCCATGCGAAAGCTGAGTTCCTGGGGCAGCTGAATTATCAACTTGCTTAAATGAACATTTGAAGACACCAGAAGTTCCCCGTGGTTGATATTCATGCCAGTTGACACTACTGCCACAGGAAATAGATATCGAGCTATAGGAGTTATAAAGTGAATAGGGAGAGTGAAAATATAGAAGCAATGAGCGGAGTGAACAATGCTGAGAAGACCTAGGTCAACTTGGATTAAAAACTTACATGAATAATTTCCAAATGCTGGGGCCGTCTGCTAGTTTTGGCGTCTTTGCCGAGATGAACAAGATGCATCGATTGAGATGCTGTGATTATGGCGAAGGGTGCATTGTGCATTCCATAAACTTAATCACGAATAATGCGGGAAATTATGTAGCTATGGAAATCCTAACAGGGCCGAAACTCGGATCGAAGAAAGGCTCGCGCACACAACAACAAAACACTTGAAAGAGCTGCGAATTCGCCACAAAACATAACACTTACAAAAGTAAAAATGCACCGTAAACAAATGATTGATAAGATCGTTATCGTTAGGCGGCGGAATGCTGTGCTGATGGAAGCCGATTCGCCGAAAATGCGGTTGCAGTTGGTTCTGCATGTTCTGCAGGATTCCCCTACTCCTACTTCAGAGAGATCCTCCCCCCACTCAAACTGGTCCTTCGTAATTTCCCCTCTTAAAGCAGTTTTCAGCTAGATTTGGCTACATTGTATATATGGTCAATATCAAGAGCCAATCAGAAATCGAGTGTGTTATCAGTCATCATGTAAACAAACACATGAACTTTCGAAAGTTGTAGTGGTTGAAGAAACGTGTCCTTCCCTTGTTACCGCCAGTTTTCGCCGAGTTTTTAATCTACAAAACTCACCAAAACACAACGTTCAGTTTCAACTTTTAGTTGAATCGAATTGAGTTTCATATTCATACTTTCATCTCTCTGCTTAGCAAGCTCGCAAAGTGCAGGTGATCAGCCCGAACGGTAAAGTCAATCACAAGCAGGTTTTGATTTTTCTTTTATTTTACAGAAGTTAAGTACTTGCCTGATTTGTTCATGGATTAACAGCTATGAACAATGTAACACTTGGGTAATGCATTTTTGCATTGTGTAGCACACTTATTTTTCATCAAATGAAGGGTTTTAGAAAAGAGCTGTGTTCATTGTGTTCGGCTATGGGTTTAGTTAAATTGGTTAAAATTGACTTTTGTGAAACCCACTTCTTTCACCTTTTATATTTGACTATCGACGCGTATGGAGACTGAGTCAAGGTCCCTTCTTCAGGACGTGACGCATGCGGTCATGTCAATCACTGGTGTGATCATTGTATCGGTCAGTTTTATCAGTCTTGACATTTCCAGCGTTGTCCTCTTGATCATTGTTTTCCTTTGAATATCCAACGTTGTCCTTTTTAGTGTTGTTTTTTGAAACTAATTTTAAAAACGGATTTTCAGCGTTCTTAGTTTCAAAATTCATCAATCTAGGTATCCCTCTCTTTGAGCATCTCAATGTTTTCGTAGATGGTTAGCATCTGGGTTTTTTGTAACCTCCTGACAATTGTTTTGGTTTGAAGTCAATATTGTGGCCTTCAGAAAAATGTTTAGCGATAGCAGATCTATCTATTTGTCTGTGAATTGGATTCCATCTGTGCTCTTTCCCTCTTATTTTTATGTTTTTTTTTGCACACGTCCTGAAGAAGGGACCTTGACTCGGTCTCAAAACGCGACGACAGTAAAATATTAAAAGTGAAAGTGGTGAGTTTTACGAAAGTTGATGGTAACCATTTTACCAAGTGCTTTCGTTGTTTGTTTAAAATTGTTTAAAAATTGGTTTTTCAGTGTTTGGAACGATCGTAATAGATAATTCTGAGTAAGTACTTAAGTAGTACCTTCTGAAGTAAGCCTTGCTACAAATCGAAAATTGCTTCAAAATAAATCCAGAGTAGATAGCACCATGTCCCGTAGTGATATTGTTACATAACTCTTTACCCTAAGTTGCTGAAATGATGGCTTTTTGGTATTTTTGCCGGTAAATCTGTAGGGCCAAATACTATCCAAGTTTTTATTTCCTTCAGCAGAATGTTAACAGGAGGTCCTCCACAAGCATCTGAGTTGCTTTGGAGTTTAATGGAGTTCTGAGAGATTCATGCAACGTTCCCTGCTCTCAGCTCCTTTTTGCATTCCGTGCTTCCTTCTGATTTCTTGAGTAACCTCACTGAGCATCCATTAAAATTCCCAGATCAAGTATTGCACATGTGTCCTTTTCCATTGTATGATAATGTCCATTTTTATTCTTATCTAGTTTGAAATGGATGAACATGGTGAAGGACATACAACTAGCCAAGCTAGGAGGACCCCAAAAAATTCAGTTGAAATATCAAAGGAAATGTCAAAAGAGGACCAAGAAGAGACGGTCATCGTCATGGAGAAGGAGGTTGGAAATGCAGCGGAAGATTCATTGAAACGGAGACTAAGTACAAGTGGGAGCTCTGAGGATGACGAAGTTTGCAAAAGGCCAAAATCCTCAGAAAGCACCGCAGATGAAGCGGATCACTCAGCAGCTGATGAAATTGAGCTCAGCAGCAATGAAGGCGAGAGCTCCAGTCACTCCGACGGAAGCGATGACTCTGCTGATGATCCACAGGTTCTTGATGATATCCTCAGTATTAAAAAAATGGTAAAGCATACACACAGTTTCTCTTAAATAGTATATTAATAGCTACTTTTAGAAACTACATACTAGTGCCCTAGAGCCAAAAGATACCTATATCACATTATTGGAAAAATCGGGTTACCTACTCTCCAATAATGGTTCCGTTCTGGGAAAAATTTGGTAGCCCTATCTTACACCGATCATGAGATACAGAGTCTCCAAAATTGCGATTTACATTGGAATTGATGGGGCGGATACTCGGCTTTCCAACTTTTCCCCTGATATCTCGAAATGACTAACGTGGACTTGGGTACCTTTTGACTCTGGAGCTCTGATATCTTGAGTTGCGATTCTGTAGGATTCTCATCATACTCTATTTTTTAATTGGAAAACTAATGAATTTATTCAACTGTTGATTTGCTCTCTTTTTCCGCAAATATCCCCTGAAAATTTCAAGCCTTGAAATTGGCTCACTTTTCTTTGCAAAAAATACATTTTAGATTGAGGAACACCACCAATGGTGGCACTATACACCTCTAAGTTTAACAATTGATCTATATGATCCCTCCTGGAAAATATAAAAATTCCGTTGGCTAATATTTAATTGCAGAGTACATTTGAAACACAGGACAATAAACAGGATGTTGTTTCCAAGACTGGTACTTCTTTACCTTTTTAAAGTTGATTTTTTCTCATCCAATAGAGGCGAGGTTGAGAATGTGAGGCAGTGAATTTTATTTCAAGGTTTGGAACTAATTTTGCACCTGAGTCTTACAATTGCATTTTACTGGAGTTTGGAACATGTTTGTAGGATGTTTCAATCCATTTATATCTTTTTAGCATTTAATCTAAAGCAACACCTGGAAGGCATCGAGTACATCGAGTTCCATTAGTCACAGAATCCTTGGTCCTGCAATTTGATGTAGTTTGATCATCTTGAAGTAAAAATTGAACAGATTTGTTTAAGTGGCAAGTCAAACGTTCAATAGTACGGAAAATATTTCCGTTCAGAAATTTTCAATGGAGCAACCATAGGTATTGTATACATCTCTGATTGATGGAACCTAAGCGAGAGAAATGACATGTTTGGTGGAAGTTACAAGACTTGCATCTAGATTATAATTTTTTAAAATCTCTGCCTTTTTTTTTTTTTTTTTTTTGAAGAATGACTAAAAAAAATTCTGTTTAAAACTATCACAGAATATAGCCTGCGCATTAAGAAAAAATTCAGTAAAAAGTTCAAGAAGTATTATTTATCTGGTATCTCATAGAAAAATTAAATGTAACTAGAAATCTACATAATTGATAAGGATTTTAAATATCTGTAAATTACATAAGTGACAAGAATCTACATATACATTGTAAATCAAGATATGTGTTTTGAACTTTCATCATCCATATTCCACTTCAGTGAATTGACGTTTAATCATGTTTCTCAAAGGGCAGTAACCTCGTCAATTGAACTAAAGAACTTGGTTTTTAGGCAGTTTTTTTAATGTTTGCGACGGATCTATGAGTTTTAACCATCTAGTCACAATTCCATGAGAAGGCAACTAAGTAGAACACAATGCATATTGCATATTTTGAAGTTCATGGTCATCTGGCTTGGAAGTCCATAACTTCAACAGTGTCACAATGAAAAGGCAGATTAATTACTTAATTATGTTTTACCCTCTCAGATGGGAAGAGCGGCTTCATCTAAAATTTCTGTAGCAAAACAATTACTCTGTACATGATTTCATTGTGCTCAATTGATTCTTGTCCTAATTTCTGAAGTTTTTCCCTCTTTCTTTTTTACCAGTTTGTGATTTTGACAATTTAGGAGCCAAGACAAGTATAATTCAGGGTGGTCTTTGATCTGAGGTTTTTCTTGCAGGTTTTATGGTTTTTTCAAACAACTCATCATCTCTCGCACGAAGGGACATATCTTGACTGGGGTGTTCCAGTATTTCCATCGACACTTGTTTTTTGAAGAACCTTTGCACGAATGTTTATCTGAAAATATTGGTATCCTGTGTTACGAGTGTAATTACAAAATCACTAGAAATTTCAGTCGAACTCAAGTGAAGGTTTTCATTTCAAAAAATAAAATGTCAGTAAAACGCACTGAGAGAGCGCAATCAAGATACGTTCTTTTGTTGGAAAAACAACGAATTCAAGCAGGACAGGAATGAAGAGTCATCTTTAGGGCACTGAAGGGAGACGGAGGTCTTACTCCGTCTCTGAGCCGCCACTTCTTGAGATGTACACTCTAATCACATACATAAATCTTTACATTTTTCCTAGGGTAAAAATCGAAGTAGTTATCCCAAGATCGGTTTTAAAAGTTTGAAATATCTTAATTTTGCAAAGATTGTCGTATAATTAACATCAAATTTAGTTAACTGCAGTGATCTCTTTTAATTCCAGGAGCTACTTCAGCACCCCCAAGTCAAAGCCTTTTTACAAGAAAAAATAGATCAGGCAAAGAAGAAAGGAAAGTGAAGTGCAGTACCGAATAGCTCCAGCATGAGCCGATGGTCCTTTGACAAGCTACCTGACTCCGATTTACTTGGTTTGTCATTTTTCTTAAACAGAAATGCATATCTTTATATTTGCAAAGGGTGAAATTTATTTTGACTTATTTTTCAAGTAAGTAAGTAAGTAAGTAAGTAAGGCCTGGCTGGCCGGCGAGGCGCCCTCAAGGGGCCAAGGCAACTGGCAACTGCCGTCGTGCACCCCCGAAGTTGGACCGTACTCCTTAACATATCTTCGTACTATTGACACATTGAGTATCATCTATATTTCCGCAAGGCTCAGCGGCCGTCTGATAGCCAACGGAAGGTCTTATCAAAGACTGTGGCAGACGCTGCAGAGCACGGTCATGCCTCCACCGAGTTGGACTGTGTTGATGCAATCTACACTGATAGGTAGCGCTGGCAGTCGCGCACACTACGAGTGATTACCGATTTTTCACAACCCAGTCGAACAGTGCAGACGGATTACTTACTGGGTGACTATGTCCCTCCCGCACCCTGTAACCTCGAAGGGTCAGGGTATTGGAGTGGCATAGTCATCCACAGTCACGATGACTGATATTTGAGTGTCCTCAAATATCAGTCACCTCCGGGGATTGAACCCGGGACCTCAGTGTTGGCAGCGAACTGCCTTGACCACTACACCACTGAGGCTGACTACTTATTTTTCAAGTATTAGTCCAACCAACAAATTAATATTTGAAGATTAAAAATATTTGCAGACTTATCGTCCATGATGTGCCAAAAAATTAAAAATTAGAGTTGACATATTTTTTCATTTTAAGCACTGCAATATGCTGCATAACAACCTAAGTGCCACCAACAATATAGAAGTTTGTATAACTTTTAAAATATAGCGTTACTGGTGGGTATGTTCTTCAGCAGTCCTAAAAAACAAAAATGTAAATACTGAACTCAAAATCAATGTTGTGGCACTTATCTGGTTGTTGATTATAAGCCTCTAATTGTCCATCTGTAGTCCTGATTATTCTTGAAACAAATTGGCAGACAAGAAAAATAAGATATTTAGATTACTCTTTACTTTTTATTACAACTAAAGAGGCACAAAAAACTTACACAATTTATTCTACCTTCTATCGTTATAGGTCTAGACAATAGACATAGATTTGTGCTCCAATATCGCTAGAAAACAGTTTTTTTACAGCTGATGCCTCAAGTCATTACTTACAGTTACGAAGACTGCACAACAATTTCAATCAGCTCTCATTCATTTTCTTCTTTCTCTTTCATCGCTCTTAGGAATTATTAGAAAATCAGACTTTTAGGAATGACATTCACATGGACTATGTTTTTCAATAAGGAACTACTTAACTAATATCTGACTTGAATGCAGAAGAACCCATATGCAAGGGAAATACTAGCACATACGTTTTTTCCAAATTGAGCCAGATCTCATCCAAATCTCATCCAGCATTAATCGCACTGAATACTTCAGAAAATCCTTTCCTAACCAAAATCTCACCTTCGATGAAATGGAAAACGATTACATTATTTATCCAACAGCTCTTCACCCTGAGGAATTGCCCTTGAAATAATTATCAATTGTACACATCGTTTCCTACCTTGAGTTTAGAGTGATAGTATTTCAATTTTTTATTACCCGTGGCCCTGACCCAAGTAACTGAATTATCTTTGTATTCTTTTACTACGCCACAGTTTAGCTTATAATTATATCATATCTTTATAAGAGCAGTCTGCACTGTAACTAAGATTACACAGAAAATTCTTGAGACCAATCTCAAGTTGTTCTCGAGCCCTGACCTTATTCCAATCAGTTAGTCATCTCAACATTACACTTAAATTGTCTTTTTTACAACCCTGCGCACTCACATTACTGTTGAATCATCATACACATCAGTGTCATTTTCCAATTTTTCAATTTTGTTTATGTCTTTTAAATTATGAAAAGCAGCGGCCTGTTCCTCAAGCAAGGTTGTAGAGTCCTCATTTTTAGATCGCTCCATAGTTCTCGCACCTTCACTACATTTTGTCTTTTCTTTTGCATTTTGCATTAGCCGGCTCGAACTGAATCCTGATTCTGATAAAGTTTTAGACCTTTCATTTGTTTCCTTAGAAGTATTTCTTTGCCGAATGTTTACCTCTTGTATCTGAGTTTCCTGAGGCATTTCTGTAGCTGACTTACAATCGCAAGATGCAGACACAAGATTGATAGTTGATTTATGCATTTCATTTTCTATTGCTGACATTGTAATTTTGCTTGCGGCATCGCCAACTGTTGTGGAGCTCATTTGCTGTAGTGGACTAGGTCCCGTAGGCCTGTTCTCTGTGTGTTTTACTAGACGTTGGATCTTTTTTTCCTTCCAAGGTATTTCAGTACCATTTAATTTCCTAGCCAAAGTTGTTAGATCTTTTAATTCGGTTTTATTTGCACTGCATGAGTCAGTTTCGGCAGTTGTATTTTTAATTTCTGTGGCAACACATTGCGTTTTGGAGGATGGTAAAGTAGATTCTGTTGCTTTAATTCTTTGATCTCTGTCGAGAGTTAAATGTTGTGTGTTCATTTCAGTGTAATCTCCTTTGCCCATCATTGTGATAAATTTGAAGTGAGGGGTGAAAGTGCCGCCTTGATCACAGTTTTTTCTTTTTTCATTTTCATCTATGGTCACATTAATTTTGCCTAAATTGTATTCAACGGTAGACAATTTTATCTTTGTGCCTGGAGAGGTTTGACGTACTCTTGTCGTAACTGTTACCAATTTCTTAGACAATCCTGCTTTCATTGTCGAACTTCCAAATTCGTCAGTTGTTTTGTAAACACCTCTAAACACTGTTAATGGATTATTGGCATTATTTTTTGTGTTTCTGAATGAGGTAGGGTTGACAGAGGAGATTTTTCGATTGCTCACAGTTTTTCTAGTCAGATTTCCAAATTCCGATTTGTTTAGGACCTTTTTAGCCATTGAATTGCCCTCTGTGGGTTCTGCATGGAATGTTTTCGTTGGAATAATTTTCTCTCTTTTTGTTTCCCCTGAAATCGGTGATGTGTGGTGATCAAGATTTGCAGTACTGTTCTCAGGGTTTGATGTGCTCGATGTACTGTTAAAAATGTTTGAAGTTACCCGAAATTGCAGGTTTCTGTCCGAGACGGAAATAGTAGTTTCAGAATTGTTGTGCACCTTCTGATTTTTGACGTCAGATTTTTTCTCCTCAAGTATCGTCACCACTTGGTACTCATTTGTGAGATTTGCGTTTTTTGTCATAGCTTTAATTTTTGAGGGAAACAACGTCGACGAGGGAGAAAATTTGAACTCATGCGTGATCTGAGTACCGTGTTGAACTTTATCTGTACTTGCACTTGTTGAGGGTGCACCTTCCGTTGTCACAATTACTGTCACTGATTTCTCTGTCTCTACCCATGCCTCTTTACTCTTTATGGAACCAGCTGTTACGTCAGTTTGAATGATTTGTTTGCCCTTTAGACTGTCGATTTTTGGGACTGTGTTCATACTTGACGTCTCACAGTCCTTCTGGTTTGAATGTTTGCCATCTGTATGGTCATGGAAACCATCAACTTTTTTTGTGGTTAAAATTGACCCAGATTCCTCTGTAGTTGCAGCAGTGAATCTTGTCTGTTTTCTTGGTGTAATTGTAAAAGCCTTATTGCAGCTACTGTCAGTTCCTTCGAAGATTGATGTCTCAAAAGCATTGGCTGTAGCTTTTCCCTGCTCATTAATTCTGTGAGAATCTGTCGTAAATGACTTATTCCTCATCAAGCGATCATGCATCTCATCACTCTTCATCAGAGGTAATTCAGTCGCTTCCATGTGCTTAAATTCGGTTGAGTTTTCATCACATTTGGAACTGGCTGTTTGTTTCATGTCTGAGAAGTCTTTAAGTAAAGACTTTACTTTTTTTAACATATTTTCGTCACTCAGATAGGGTGTCTCCACTGAGGCTGAATTTTCAACATGCTTTTCTTTATTTTCAGGTTTTGTCTGTGTATCTTGCGTCTTGCCAAGTTGCTTCATCCCAGAATTTTGGTCTAATGTCTCTGACTTATCATTGTGAGTACCGTTCATTCTTAACTGCCTTAATTTATCAAAAATTGATGTCACATTAGCCATTCCGTACAATCTACCTTCAATTGAACTTTTAAAATCAGGCGCCGATAGAATTCTTGGGGATGAAGATTCTGGCTCAACTATCCCTTTAGCTGTTCCCTCTGTGCCCAAAGTCGTTTTTGTTGCATCAGTCTTTCCTTTGGTTTTGGGATGAGAAATCGTTTCCTTGACTTTGGACCCTTCTGTTCCCTGTTTTGTGAGAAAATCAGGTGGTAGTGGAAGTTTGGTCTTTCTCTCGCTCTCTGTATTAGGTTTACCAGCTGTCCTCTGTATATCCGCCAAAAGTTTAGAAATATTAACGAATGATTGTTGGCTGAATAATATTGAGCCCTGAGTGGTACCTTCACTCAGTTGTGTGAACCTATCGTCAGTCTGCAGCAGTGGCTTTTTGGCAGTGGTTTCACGAAGCAGCATTTCCAACATTGAGAGAGGGTTTACAGTTGATTCATCAGACTCTTTGCTCGGAGAGGTGGCATTATTTGTTGAAAAGTTCTCGTGCGCTGGGAGCTTGATCTCAGGGAGCAGGAAGTTCGAAGTGTCTGTGTTTGAAAATCGGTTGCACCTAGAATCTGGCGTTTTCAGGTTGGGAACAGTAGTAACTTTGTTTAATAAAAATGTGGGTGTTGTGCTAGTTCGAGCACTGCTGCTCTTCCACTCCGGTGAAGTGGTATGAATATGTGGACTTTCTGTTTCAGCGTTAAGTATTCTGTCCACGGCTCCCATCAATGAAAACTTTTCGAAGCTGGATGGATTAATGGGAGCGAAAGTTGTGCCACCAGATAGTTGGCTCTGAAGATTCTCCAAGTAAACCTTTTTTAAATCCTTCCAGCTGTCTTTTTCTTTTTCACTTTTCCTCAGTACCTCTTCCAATTGGCGGTGTGCTGATGCAAATTTTTTTTTAGATTTTGGTCGCCAAAGATCACCGAGTGATTTCTCTAGACTTAGCTCTTTATTAGATTTGATCAATTGTTGTATGTAACCCTTGTTCCTTTCCTCATTCAAGTGGGTGATGTATTGTTTGAGAGCACTCACTCCAGCAGCAGACAGTGTTGCCGATTGTTCCTCTTTTTTACCGAGGATGCTTTGAACAGTCATCGACTCAGCCAGTCCCAATTGACTCAGTTTTTCAGCCATTTGCCGGTTATAATTTTTCAGCTGATCAGAAAAGTGCCCTTTGGACATCTTCAAACTGGAATCCTCTTTTTCTATGTTTAGTTCAGGGTATGTGTAAGTATCTGTTGCAGCGTCAAAGGGTGTATTATAGTTTTTATAAGTAAACTTACTTATCTCTGTAGGCTGAAAATTTTTTTCTTGTGCTAAGGTTTGTTCGTCCATGTCAAGTGGTATTATCGAAACTCGCTCATTCTCACTGTTGCCTTTAGCAAGCTTCATCGTATAGAGATCAGGCACTTTGACTGGGAGGAATGGATATATTTTTGCGTCGATGAAGTTTCCTGAACCCATTAAATTATTTTGAACTACTCTCTCTTTTTTCTCATGTACCCATGGCTCAGAATCACTCTCCACCTGGCGGTCTTTCAGTTTCTGCCCCCGGTCTATCGTTTCCTTAGAATTTTTGTCTTCAATTGTCTGTATTGTCTTCTCATCTGCTTGTCCTGCAGCATTTTCATTGTTACTTTGAGTTAAACGCAGGATTTCTTCATGACCGCTGTGAGCTAGCATCTTTTTCTTCTGCTCGCTAGATAGAGCCTCAGCTATGTATGGTGTAATTATAGCACTAGGAACTTTAATTGCGTGATAAACTTTGGTGTTATCAAGCTGCAGAGGAGACGAACTGTGGATATGCACACACATGTTTTTCCGTCCGTTCTGGTCTGTTTTTGATGTGTAGTTTTTATTTTTAACACTTTTCTTATTTCCCTTCAAGTCAAGTAAACTTTTGAAGAAATTCAGGCGTGAAAAAATATTATTTTTGGTTGGTTTCACATTTATATTAGAATTTATCTCTAGGTGTTTTTTGCTTACCGCATTTGTAGCACCATTACCAGTGGATTCTGTTGGAAAATTATCCGAGAAATTTTTACTCCTAACTTTCGTGACCAACTGTGTTGAACTTCTAGGAGCATGTGTCGCATTGTGATTCACGGATTCCATTCCCTGCTCCCGAGTTTTATCCCTATTAGTGCTGCCACCTTTGATACTTTTTGAAGCAAACCCTTGTGTATCCTTTTTCTTGAAAGAACTCTCGATAACATTTGCATCACTCCCCTCTTTCAGATTATTGAATGTCTGGTTGGTTTTAATGTTAAGTTGAAATGTATTACCTTCCGGACTGCCTTCCATAAACCCCATGAGTTGTTGAGAAGTTCCAGATTTTGATTCCAAATTGCCTTTGTCTGTGCTTGAAGCTTGTGTAGAGTTTGTGCCTGCGTCAAGACTAATCTGAGGCATCCCTCTCTCCTCAGATCTGTCGTCTGTTATGTTTGCCGATGAAGACCCAGCTCTTCCAAAAAAATTATTTTCCTCTGTCAGATTATGGGTAAATTGGCTTGTTTTTAGGTTCTCCAAATCGGATCTTTCATTGTTGCCGCTTTTTTTATCGGAATCTGGAGTCAAATCCTCATCTATTTTTTGAAACCTATCTTCTAAGAATGAGCGGATAGGTTTTTTAGATGTATCTTTCATTCCTATTTCTATGTTGCTACTCTCCACAGGCAAGTGCAACAAATTTTTATTTTTTGTTTTACTCCTTAACTTTGATTTAATATCATTTTCAATGAAGGCATTGTCATTCACGTTCATAATTTCATCCTCATCGAACAGAAATGTAGTGTTTTCTCGAAACCTAGCTGTCGACATTGTTCTATTGAGTTCGTTCAAATTATTTTTTGTAGCGATTTCATTGTGGATCAAGGTAGTCTGTTGCCTTGCGGTAGAGGTTTCAATTCTTTCTCCAGCATGCTGAGCTTTTTTTCCGCTACTCAACGGAGATTTCAGATGCTTCAAGTATTGTATTAGCATTCTTCCTTTTGATACGTTCTTTTCTGTCAGTTCAGAGATCACATTGGGTCGAATATTTGTCACTGTGTTTTCATTCTTATTATCAGGAACCGATTCATTTTTTGATTTAATATGCAGAATGCTCAAATGGTTCTTCAAGTGCTTTTTTCTGTGCTTTTTGTGATGTCTATGAGTTTTGTTCTTATCCTCTGTTTTGAGTTTTGAAGAATCCTCTTTGAGATCTATGGGCAAAGTCTTGAGCGCATCATTCTTTGAGGAGGACGACACATCTTTCCACCCATGTGATCGCATAATGTGTTCACCTCTCTGACTTAAAGTCTTCTTTTGTGGTTCATCAGTTTGGTTCATATCCTTCTTTTTCAATTTTCGATGGTGCCGATGGAGTTTTTTTCTATGTATTTTATGACTTTTTGTGTCGTTTTTAAGAAAAGTTGAATGCTGCAAAGAAGAATGATGTGAATGAGGTACTTCCTGAGCATCATCATTTGAAGCTTCGTTGGATAAAGAACTAGTTAAATCCATCAGTTCCTTACCCTCGTCAGGAAATGTCTTGGCTTCAACTGGTTTTTGTGTATTCGTCAAGAAAACAACATTTCTCTGATTTTTTCCGTCATTATTCAGTAATGCCCCTTCTTGCAGTGAATCATCTTGATCTCTCGGCCGCATTTTTTGTTTTGAATTACATAAATTCAGAGTGTCAAGATAATGCTCAGAACTTCTGGCAGTACGTCTTAAACTTTTTGGTTCACTATCTGACTTTTGATTTTTTTGTTTGAACACAAAATTAATTTTTGGTATATTTTCTGGCATCCAGAGTATAAGCTCAGAAACATCATTCTCCACTTTTACTTTTTGTCTCTTCAACTGATCAGGACTTGGTGCGATCGGTGTCACAAACATTTTGTTCTTAACTAGTAAAGAGCCATTCCTACTAATATCTTCCTTGTCAGTATTACTAACGTCTAACTTCAAAGGTAATTGTTCATTTGTTCGAACCGGCAAGGGGGAATATGAGCCTTGAGAATCTTTCAATCCTAGAAACAGAGGATCTTTATCTTGGATATTCTGCAGCCTTGCATTCAAAGGCAAACGATCGGAAAAAGGAACATTATTTTGAAATAAAAACGAGGCCTTTTGCGCGCAGACACCGTTATTTTGAATTGTGTCTAATGGTGAATATCTCAACAAATTTTTTACGGGCAAAGTTTGTGATGAGTCTTCATCATTAAGATTATTCGCCATCAAAGGATTATAATTCCTATCAGTTGAATTAAACCAGACTGGAGGGTAAAAAGTTGAAGCAATATCGGTCGCTATTGATGAACTCTCTGGTCCTGTTACATCATCGTCAAAATCTTCAATGTAATCATCAGGCTGTAAGTCCAAAGAGTATGAACCAGAGGAGAGTTTCGTCCCATCATTGAACTCATTCTGGCTCTGCAAGTTATTAAAGGGCATGTCTTTTTGAACCTTTTGTTTCAAGTTTGACCCATCACTAAGAGTGTTTTGTATCGCAAGTTCAACCTTAGGGAAATTATTATTGGCAGGCTGTTGCAGTGGAAAAAGAGTTGCGTTCAAGCTGCTTGTGTGGGTATCAAATGGACTTGTTTTTGCACTTGAAATCTCATACTTTAATTGCTTCTGCGCTGGTTGGTAGATATTTTGCCGTGAGCTTGTCAGAAGTTCATTGCCCAAGGGAAGATGTATCGAAACTGGTTCATACATCAGACTCGTGTCAGTAGTATTTAGTCCTGTTGGTTGGATTCCTGTTTGATTATCCATGATCCTCTTGGGAATAAAGTTTTCCTTACATCTAGTTTCAGTCTTTAAAAATTTTCTTGCCGGAATTAATTCATCTGGTTCCGTAGCATTGCAGGCTACCGGCGTTTTGACTAGTTGCACAGTTTTCTTCAAGGCAGGTGACCCTATGCATCTTGCTTGAGATTTTGAAATATCATCCTCCGTGTTTAATCTATTTAAATTAGTACCAGCTTCCTTTGCTTGAACCAGTTTTATGTGTTTTTTGGTGTCGGGCATCTCTTTATACCTGGCCTTAGATTTGAGAGCAATACTTTCTGAAATAAATTCACCTGATTCTGAAGCAGAATTGACCTTTGGTTTTTTAACAATCTGCGCATTTTTAGTTGAGGTAGAGAGTGTAGAATTTCCATCATTCGAGACTTTCTGACCGGAATTCCGTTGTGATTTAGGACCATCTGTTTTGCCCGGCTCATTTTGAAACAAGGAATTATAGACCTGTGGCATAAGTTGTAGCACCCTTAAACAGGGCATGATGGAACAAGTGTCAGAATTGCATACGATACTACAAGGATTTGTGAAGTTTTCATTGAACATGTCGGAGACAGTCTCTAAGTTTTCAATCGTCGAATTCCAATGCTCAACCGACTTCTCATTCATTTTGGGCAAGGAACGATTCTCAGAGTGATATTTGGAAAGCCTCTCGCTTTTCAACATGTCACTCAGTGGCACTCCATCCACTATCACAGACACTGGAACACTGAAGATTTGATCTTTTTCATCCTTGTACTTGGATTTATTGCCCAAGCGGCCTGTAAACTTATCGTTGCTAGCATTTTTTATAGTAATAATCACTGGAAATGCATTATTGACGATCTTTATTCTTTTTTCTTTTTTATTCAAGCCATTTAGCTGAGGTTTTAAATTTGGCATTTTGAGCGAGAAATTAGGACTGTACCCAGACACTCTTTCCTGCTTTTGAGATTCCTGTTTGGCCTGTTTAATAATTGGTTTCTTTGATGTATTCAAGTTTGTATTGACAGGAACATCTCCCTGTGGTGTTGAATTTCTCTGAGAATTCACAGATACTGCTACCATTTGGTCTCTATGATTTTTCTCTGAATCTCTTGGACTGTCTTTTAAGAAATCTATCCCTGTTGCCTTGAGAGGGGAATTCTTATTGGCTCTGAAATTGCTGTCGACAGATTTCTTATAATTTGTAGCGGTGTTATTTAATTCGTTTTCTTTACCGGTACCATATAACTCATACTTGGGTTTAAGCCAGAATTTTTTCTCCTTTTGAGACTTTTCTGGCGCTAAATTGAAACGGTTTTCATTCGTCACCCAGATGGTAGTATTTTCTTGCAAGTTATTACTCAATCTTGAAACTGGTGTCTCAGTTGTTTTAGAATCTTTACTTTGCTGTGTTTTGAGGCTTGTATTTGTTGTTGCCAAATGCTCATGAGTTGTTCTGCCATCAGCAATACTCAAAATCACTCTCAAACGATCGGACGAATTTTTGTCCTCCGACTCAGGCAGCTGTGGTATTGAAACTGTCACTTTGTACTTTAAAATATTTTCTCTTCCTTGAGAGCCAGAACTTAAACTTTTTTTACCTGATCCTTTACTCTGTCTAAGTTTATCGATTTCTCGCTCTATGTAAGTGCCTCTCGGTACATTTAATGCCACCAGTGGTCGTTCTTTACCAGTCGAATAGCTCAGTCCATTTGCAGTTTGACGTAACATTGTTTGAGGTTTGTAACTGTTTGAAGTTTCAGCCTGAAAATTTGGCAGCTTAATTTGATTCAATCTAGTTTGAATGTTTGCTCTCCAATTTCCAGAGGAGTCTGTAAATACTTTGGAACCCGGAGTCTGGAATATGAACAAATTTTTGGATCGATTATTAAGAAGGTTCAGTAATTACGAGGGCGTCGATCAGCAAAATCTTAAATTCTAAGGAATATTTGCTCAGAAAAAATCACCATGACCTTTGCTGTGATTGGTGTTCCTAAAAATAGTTTTAATGTAAGAGTCTAAAGGAATCTCAAGGTAATATTGTAAGTTTCAATTTTTCACTCTAGGTACGAAATTCATTCGGGACCACGTGCGAAAAGCTCCCAGCAAAAAAGCGAACTGGTCGAATGTTGCATTGAAAAAGTTGTGGCAGCCTCGATTTTTGTCGCTGACTTATTGTCCAGATAATTTCAAACCTCATTTTAAAAAAAATTTGTCCCTTGGAAAATTAGAGATTACTTCAGAGCTCACAGAACTCATTGATTACTTAGAGAACTTAGAGAGATACCTGAGAACGCATCGCTTGTCCCTTGTTTGTTGTAGACGAAGAATTGAACAAATCTATTGTGTTGAGGTAGCGGCTGTATTTTTCATGCTCTTCTGTAAGATTTTTAAAAAGTGATCTTGATGGTAGGTATACCCTCTTTGGGAAATGGACGTTGCTGCAAAAACCAGTAAATAATATACTAGAATATAAAAATGCACAAATATTTTATGCGTCCGTTCTAAGTTGGCTATTTTTTGCACCGGATCTAACTTCTTTTGACGGTTAAGTCCGTTTATAAAGATTCAGATCAGAAGTTAAAATAATTAGATAAACAAATAATGAAACAGGCCCATTTGACTGTAAAAAGAACACTCGGATCATTATATTCTTTTTTCCTCTCTGGTTTTTTTTCTTTGTGGAAAAAAGATACATAGCAGAAATTGCATCAGATTTAAACTTGAAAATATCTACAAAAATAAACACGTGACTTTAAGAGATAATGTTCCAAAAAATTTTGTCCTGCATCAAATGTTATATTGATTGGCCTATTTATAAATGCAACAAGGGTCAATCATTTAAAAACTTTTTAAAAAAAGATAAGAATTTCCCCTTCGAAATTTTTATATAATTTTTATTCATTCAAAACTTTTTATTGTAATGCTAACTTACTTTGGTGGGGGCAGAGTATAATATGTATATTTTGACGTCCTCAACAACAAGCTGCTATTATTCAAAGCAGAGATGTGCGTGGCAAAAAGTATCGAAAGAATAAAAAATGGAAAATGAAGTTGTTGTTGAAGTACATTTTTCAGCCTTAAAATGATAGAAAATTGTAGGACACTTGAAATGTTTTATTTCTGCTCTACATTGGTGTTATTTTCTGAAAAAGAAGAGAAGTTAACGTGTATTTTCAAAATAGGAGAAAGCATTTATTGGTCATAGACTTGTCGCTTGCTGTCATACTGTTATGTCTTCATATATATAGTGGCAAAAAAAAACATGGAAAAAAAGGAATTTTTGGTTAAGAATTGAAAATAAAAGCTGTAAAACCATGGTTAAAAAAATGTTTAGTCTAAGTTGTCATTGGTCCACTGTTGGCTTGCTGATGTTGGTTTGGTGTCTATTATCTGGAGTGTCTGAGAGTAAGCCCTAACGTTAGTTTTCTTTTATTGGATATTTGCCATGGTCACACGTTCGTACGGAGCCTACGCCCATGCCTAATGCAACAAGCAGCCTATCTAAGGTAAAATGGCAAACAGCAAAAGTCACGACAAAATTTTTACCGTACATACACATTTTTTACCAGAAAATAGTAAGATGCAGTTACAGTCTCTGCCAAAGACGCACAATTTTTCTCAATGATGCAGCAAAGAAAAAACTTGGTGCCCTCTTCCTGCCCCCCTCTCTAGCCAGTATTTCTATCAACAATCTCTGGAATATTCCACCTTTAGAACCCCCCCCTTGAGGAATTTTTACCGTTGACCTCTCTTTGACCAACAGATTTCCAGCTACAAATGGAGCCCCTGCTTTGCCTAATGAAATTTAGAGAACGATGACAAATTAAACCTCAACTTTTCGTTTAAGGGAAAACCTAGGGAACCTCCCCCATCCCCCTCCTTAATTGCAAATGCAGTCCATGATGCAGTCCCAAAGCTGATGAGAAAGTACCTCTAGTGTGTCACCTGAATATAATCTAATCAATAACCTATAAGCCATTGGAGTCATTAGGGCTGGCTACTAAATCATAAAATCAAGTCAAGCAGCCGTTACAAAATTGGATCATTTTAATTTTTATTTACGCGTTGGCATTACAAAATCTGTTAAAAGACAACCCCATTCATGAGTCCACCATTCAAGGATTGACGAAATTGTTTTTGTTTATTTTCCTCAGGGCTTGTTCCTGTATCATGTTGGCCTCAGCTTTCAAGCGTCTACCGTTGAAATGCTCAAGTTTCAAATCTGAGGTATGCATACTTTGTTAGCTTTTGTCTTTTTGAACGGTCCATGGGGTAAGGAACTCTAGTACCTAAATTCAAAACTGAGGTGGGAATCGGCACCATTTTGTCTCAAATATTTATATTGGTGCCGAAAATTGGTCTGCAAGGAGTGTTTTGCCTACTAATATTTTGACACATTAAGTCCCCAAGAATTTTAAATGAAACTGGAGCTCAGATGAATTGTAATCAGCAGTTCAAAAACATGGTTTTTAAGGACAGCAATCTTCAGTTTCAATTAACCATGTAAGGAGTAAGAATGCTCGTTATATATTCTTTGGGATACTTGAGGGTTTTTCTGTTGGAAATTAAAATACATTTTTCGACGCAACTCGCTAAGTAGCCTTGTCTCTTTGACTTTGGAATGTGTCCAAAGGCACATGTATTAGCAATTCTAAACTAATTTATGTTCATATTTTTTCAAAACCCCACTGCACATAGATTTCTTTTGTTTAAATGCACCCCTTTGCAGAATGGTTTTTGAGTGTTGCAGTTGAAAGTTAGAAGTTTTTGCTAGAAAGTTAAATCAAGAATAAGCTGATAAAAGTTTTAATTTGTTGTGTTTGAGGCTCAACATCCAATAATTCAAATGCAACTTCATGTTCTTTAATAGTGAGAAACATGGTTTGTGCCACCATTAAAAAAGTTCTAAGAGTGCTTGATCTCGATACTCTTTTCAAGGCTTTGAAACTGCTCCTGATTGTTTCCCTTTACTAATTGTCAGTGGTAAATGCGCGCTGTTTTGGGCAATAACAAAGTATTTTATGTTCGATTGGTCGTTTGGAAAGACATCATATTTACGTAAGGAATTGCCAGCTTTCTTCAAAGGGAACCGAAAATTCCCTTCTCAAACTCATGATAGTTCGATACTGCGTTTTGGGCAAAATCACGGGTAGGATCGTGTAAAGTGCTTCAAAGTCCTCAAAAAGTGATTGAAAACTACTTGAGCTTTTATTTCTGAGGCCATGCAAACTGTGGAAAATTAACTGAAATGCTCCTAATTTATTCTCTGGTATACCAAAGGTTGTTATTGGTCAAGAACTCAGGTTCTCACATATTGGGACAGTTTTACGAAAATCTTAACAACTGCCAAATTCCGTTCATAATCAATATGAATGCTTTTCCATTGCGTAATTTTGCCTGATAATTCAATCTTTTACCAAAAACTAAGTGCAGTAATACCTTGAACTTTCCATAAATTACCTCTTGATCATGGAAAAAAACTGAAAAAATTTTAAATAAAATATTCTTTAGTTTCCTTACGAAAAAGCTACTATAAAGTAAAATGAGCGGAAATGCAGGCAATGTGTAATCAGTCAGGCTGTTTTTTTTTTAAGTTTTGTTTGTTTACATCTAAATCTCATTTTAATCCTAACCTGCATCGGTAATATCGCTACTTTTAAATATTTACGTACCTTAAAAACAAATGAAGTGATGGATATAGTCTATTTTGTCAAGCAAATGGTTATCTTTTTCTGTTAAAATTGACGCTTAGTTATTTTTTGATAATTTGCATCGGTGAGCATGTTCGTCCACTTTTCAATACCACCATTTTGCCAGGTTAAACAAGTATCAGCTGACAACTTTTCCAGCTGTCATAACCTTCTACTTTTATTAAAACTCCAAGTTGTATCATTTGTGAGGTTAATTGATTCTCAAGAAGAATCTGATAGAAAACACTCTGTGTTAGTTACATTTTTGTATGAGTCATCTCTTCGTTAATCGTATTGTCGATCCGTATTATCATTTAGAAAATAGGAATCTTGCCTTTAACGCAAAATCAGTGGAATGATATTGAACTTCTGATACTTCCTTTGATCTAATTGACATCATCATTTTGCTACAGAGAGAGCAAGAAGCTGTTTTATATTTATCTATCTATAGCTGAACTCAGAACACTCCAATCTCAATTTTGATATTTCAAAATCTCTGCTCCTATCTGATTTTCTTAAGGAAAACAAGCCCAATTTGCTGAGACTTCTCTTAAAACAGAAGAGAAAAGTAACAATTATTTTCAAGAAATTACATCAATGGAAAAAAGGTGATTAAAAAATAAAAAAAATGGCCCTCAGCATTGCAAAGCAAGATACTTGTTCTTCTAATTCAGCCAACAATATGTAAAAAAAGAGAGTCAAAATTCCGGTTTATTTTTAGGGTTTTGACCAATGTTTTTTTATGCTCCTTCGAGCCTTCTAAACTTGAAATCTCTATCAGGTATAATTTCACTTCATCTCTCAAATTGGGGTTTTTCCCTTCAACACTTAAAGGACTCTTTTTAAATATTTCAGGTCTTAAGAGTTGTAAGGTACGTCAATAAGAAGGTTATCATGTTAGGTTTCAATAAAATTTTATTGCAAGGATGAAATGAAAATTGAGATTTATAAACAGAGATTAGAAACAAAAGAAAAAAGAACAAAGTGTTTCAATAAAGTTGACAAACACGTCATACTGTACAAAATTAATAAATAATAAAAGAGTTTTTGTTTTCTCATAATAAATAATAGATAATAAAATATTTATACACGTAGAACTGCAGCATTGTTGCATGTATGAAAGAGCTGGGTAGCCATACATGGATAATACTTTACATTAAATGCTGTACACAAATTTGACGGGTTGACAAGTCACTCTATGAAGAGTACCTCAGGTGCAATTTATGTGATAAATTAATTCGTAAAGCACCTCATTAAATTTGTGTGAATGAGTATCAATGAAACCTTTAAACAGTTTGAAGGTTTGCAAGAGGCGTCTTTAGTGCTGCTAGCAACTACCTACACCCTTGACTTTTGGAAATTTGATCCTTTGCAGGCAGTTTTGGTCTATTTCAGCTTAATTTTTCGTCCCCTCTGAGGTATTGAAAATGATGCTTTTACTTTGTCGCTCTTCATAGAACTGTGGAAAAGGTTAAATAGTGCAAAAAAATTTGAACGGATTATGCGATTAAAAACTTGTGAATTACAATATTAATCAACACCAATCAAGTCTGATGTGAGAAATATTTCAATTTTTTTCCTTTTCAGCTTTTGATACTAAATTTAACACAAGAATAGAAATTTCACCATTCGCAAACAGCTCTCCTAGGAAAACGATTCATCTTCTCCTTGTTAAGGAAGAAAACTCGGGAATTGTATCGGAAGAATTAAAGTTTAAGAGTTGTTCTAATAATTGAGGTCGCTTTTTGACAGGCTTAAAAAACAAGTATTGTTAAGTACATATGACATTCTGTTATAGTGACAACTTCATCATTCATACAAGATTGAACTTTCTCACATCAGATCGTCTATCTGTTGGAAATATGAGCGGTCAAAGCCAGATGAGCTTAATTGCATCGCAAAATTGTGAAGTTTTACCTGAACACACATTGATGGGTGATTTTTGTGGATGAACAATGTCAGGGGATATTGCTCAAATACAGGAGAAAATTCTTGAAAATTTTCAGTTGAAACTTTGTAACTTTGTAATGCCATCAAGTTCCTCTGGCCCCAACCTTCCCAATTTAGAAACGTAGTACATTTGTTTGTTTTTCTCTCTAAAAATGCAAATTTTTTATGCTCAGTGGTACCTTACCAGTCTCTTGAATATTTTCTATTGGATTAGAATCAAACATATCAAGTAACTCAAAATGAACTTCAAAGAAAAGTTTGCCTAAAGTTAAAACAGAGGAAGAAGATATAAGGAATTTCACATCAAGGGCTAATTTTCTTTCAGGAAAATGCATGTACTTGAGTCCTGAAGTCTTTATCCATCCATCAATAATGCAACAGCGCAATATTTCAGCAAACTAGGTAGCACTCATCTAACAGATCACTCAAAGTGAAAACTAGTCCTATATATAAACAGAGAGAGGAAGGCTACAAAAAATGGAAGTGTGCCTATTGTGAGATTCGTTATAATGAGTAAAAGGAAAGTACCCAATCTTACTTATAAAGATTATAACTTAGCCTAAAATAAATGTACAAGGACAGTGTTAGTTATTAAAAGTAATATCAGAGAAAGATCTTTCTTTAATGATATGCTTTGAACCTGATTATCATACAGAGAGCTCCTTAGTCATGGAAAAATTATCCATTTCTGAACCATTACGAAATGTGAAAGAAGACAGACGTAATAATTTCAATAATACATACTATTCAAAAATCACACAGTCGATTTGAATCTAAATTTTTTCGCCAGTGAATTACGCCTTTTTAAATGAAGTTTGAAACCATCATTCTGGACAACAGCCAAGTTAAATTATCGAGAAACATCAATTAATTTATTTTCTTATGTGTGTTTTCCAACACATCTGGCTTAAATCCATGCTTCAATCGTAGTTTTTTCTATTGCTGTTTCCGTAATTACTCAGAACTCATCTCTATCCCTTACCTTTTCCCCCTTTCTCTCTTCTACTCCTCCATTTTACTTAAATTTGCAAAGAAATTGAATCTTTCTCTAAAATGCAGACACATAATTCTGATAAAAACTCAGAAATAAGATTTTCAATAGAAAAAAAATTATAGTACTAGTAACACGCATAGATTTTAATGAAAACGTTTATTAAGTTATAAAAAAAAACGGAACATTCAATTACTGCTACTGCAAATAATCATCAATTATGGAAAGTTAAAACGAGCACTCCTTCAGGCCTCCTTATTGTCTGTTGCGTCTTTGGCCTGGAAAACGAAAAATAAAACACAGCATGTAACTAATATTTCAAGTAGATAGTGATCAGGAACAAGGAACCAAAATAACATCGTACAAAACATAAAACCGATCACATCACAGATGAACCATTCAGTCGAAGGATTGAACTGTCAAGAGTCAATTTTTAGGAAAGCTAGGTGGAATCTGTCGCCTCCTACATGGAAGAACGTATTTTGTCCACGTCGTTTTATGCCTGTGCACTTTTTTTTCATGCAAGAGCCACTGCACGAACGTTTCTGCAAGTTTCAAGTGTCTCCTCATACAAATTTTAAGAAAAATCACTGGAAATTTTAGGAAAGTTAATGCGTTCTTCATCAAGATGTAATGGTGCAGAAACGTTGCAAATTGGCATCTTTTTGAAGCATACCGAGGGTTTTTCCCCCAAAAAAGTTTAGGTTGTGCCTTTTGATTTTGTGGAAAATAACTTTTTTAATTCATGGCTTCTTCTGCTGATTGGATCATACTTTTTAAGAATGGCAGAAAATACACAAATTCAAAGTATTATTTTCCCAAAACCAAAGAGCACAGCCTCAAAAATTTTTTTTAAAAAAAAACCATTTGGAAGGCTACAAAGTGAATCAATTTTGCAACTTTACCGCACTGTCGTGTTGTTATTACTGTAAGAAGCTGTTTTTTGGCTCATTCCAGGGGACGCACCTCTGAAAAAGGTCAGTGGAGTTGCAGAAGGAACTTCCTCTGTTGGAAAAGAATAAATATGAAAGTTTTTCATGGAAAATTGAGATCCCAGGAAAAGTTTGAATAATCAATTAGTTCTTGGCAATTTTTTCTCACCTTTGTTTCCCTTGTTTTTTCGTTGTGCCTTGTTCTTACACTTCTTTGTGATTCGTTTGCTCTTGTCGCAGCTCTCACTGGCGGGGGTCTTTAATGTGTCTGTTCGAGCCATTTCGTTGGTCTGAGGATCACACGCTGACCAGGTGCCTTTTTCGTATCGGCAAGCTGTGTAAACATGAACAAAAAATTACCATAACATTACAATGGTTACAGCTCTTCTTATCATCATCTTGGTTGTTAATAGAATCAAAAAATTGTTAATAATGAAGAGAAGTTTGCAATGTAATTCATCTTGTGGAATTTTCCTGTAATTGTGGTGATATGTCTCCTTCAGGGTTCATGAATTTGAGGGAAAATCCTGAAATTTCGAACCGCGCGTTTCCAACGATGCAGATACAACTAGTATCTTGTAGCTTGCTGTATTATTTTGGCTAACTGAGATTTACAAAATAATTTGACTGACTTAACTATGTATCCCTCATTGATTTCGATTTTGTAAGGTCTGTTCCAAAGACCAACCTTCGAATGAAAAGGACTTCATCCCATGATTATTTTTCATTTTTCAAATTGGCACAGACAGATCATACATGGCAATTGGTGCTGCTTTCTAATAAGTTAGTGGGTCTTTTTTCAATGATTAATATTCTTATTATATTGATTATTAAAAGAAGTAGTGAGGTATCCTAATTAATTTATTAAGAAATCGTGTTATGTTACTACTTTGTAAATATTTCATTTATATTTTAACAATAAAGAAAAAAATTATCTCTTAATTTTTTTATTTATTGTAAAGTGAGTTCCATGGTAAGCCCAGGTAGTAAGTGCTGAGTGTTGTGTCAGTATCAAAGGCGAAAATTCGGTCACTCCTTGGCTGAGGAATATTCCTAATATTTCCTAGAACTTTCAGAGGCCGCGTAAGCTGCACTAAGTAACAGATAATTCAACTCTTAACACGTAAGTTTGTCTCCCCAATCCCCAAAACCTAAGTTTTAGGACACCCTTGATGACTTAAAATGGTTAGAATAAAAATCAATTCACAAGGGCATTTTGACATGCTTATCCCAGGATACCCTTTACAAGTTTTTTACATTTTTTTGGACAACTTTTTGTAGAATTTTTTACAACACTTCGTGTGACAAAATTTCATGAAATTTAGCGTCTCCGTGCTTTACGGATGACTGTTTTCGAGCTCCCTTTTTGCGACATGTAAAATCGGATTGGTGTCCCGAGGAGAAAAGCGCGGGTAGGTTNGGGGGGGGGGGGGGGGGGGGCGGCGGCGGATGTGCGGAGTCTGGATCTCTCATTGCTTCCTGCTCATGAGCCGGAGTGACACAGATCCCGATATCGTCCAGATCGTTATCGTAACCCACTCGGCGTTGGACGTGGCGTACTACGTATCTCGCCCCCCTCCCCCGCCTGCCTGGGGGGGGCAAGGGGGATCCCGCAGGAGCCATCGCTACCACCTATCGTTTCCTCCGGGCAAATCCCCAACCCTCCTCCCTCCCGAACGCCATAAATCGAATCAAGACGGTTAGAGAGGCTTTCCTCGATTTCCTTGTAGGCATCGTGTCTAGAATTCTTCAGCATTCTCTCTTATTGATTTTTCCCTGATTTTCAGGAGCTTATTATTTCACCTCCCGTGATTTTCTTCAAGGAAAGTACAAGTATTCTGAGTTCTAGCCATGAATATTGATTTTTTTTTTTTTTTTTTTTTTTTTTTTTTTTTTTTTTTTTTTTTTTTTTTTTTAAATCTTTCGAAAGATTAGTTAATTAGTAGGTAGTAGAAGTGCGTTTTTGATATTTTTATTATTTTGGCCAATGAAAGATTTCCAACCAGGTATTCTGACGATTTGAAGACTCAAGAGGTCTAAGACGACGGCTCAAGTGCCAATAACATAGCTTAGAATGGTCTCCATGCGGTAGGAAAAGAGATGCCCAGTTTCTGGAACAGATTCCCCGGGTTTTCCCTGATATTCCCTGAAATTTTTCATTTTCTGATGAATCCCGGTCCTAGACGCTATGGTCTGAAGAAAGATGAAAAGAGGGTGAAAGCAATGTCACCCACCCCTGGGTGGAGTTAAACCTGGCAATTTCACGGCAGCATTTTGCCAACATCTACATATAAGTTCTTCGAACCAAGAGACCCTCTCCTCATTGAATAGAGCGCTGAGTGTGTTCTATCTGCATCGCATATTGCAATGGTGGTATCAAAATATTATCCACTGGATAAATGGTATGCCTCGTAACGATCAGGGCCGGATTTAGGGGGTGGCCACATGGGCCGCAGCCCATGGCGGCAAATCTAGGGGGCGGCAAATTTTGCAATTTTTTTTTTTTTTAATGTAACCATAAAAAATATCGGATTTAGAAAAAAATTACAAACAAGAAAATGCAACAAAATATATCTCTCATTTCCTGAGAGCATAGTTATTTCTAATTTTGTCGTCTTTCAGTGATACAAAAGACAGCACCTTCAATTAGTCGAGTTAAGAGAGAAACCAAACACGCAATTTGGCCTGGAACGGCGCGGTTTAGAGAGAAATGATGACGAGGTCTTGAGATGAAAAGGAGAAGCTCTCGGCGCGGCGGTCGGCATGTAACACATATTAGCGCCTACAAGACTGCATGAATACTTCTCGCATTGCATCAAACACAGTGCGGCGCGGTCAGGCATGAAACGCATAGCGCCTACAAGACTGCATGAATACTTCACGCATTGCGTCAAACACAGCGCGTTCAGCAGCGGTCGGCGTGAAACGCAAGGCGCCTACAAGACTGTAAGAATACTTCACGCATTGCGCCAAACAGGGTGCGGTCTGCGCGGCGCGGTGACGTAAGTTAACATTTTTAAACCTCATTTATGTTTGTTCTTTCATAACTTTTTCGTTCATTTATTATAAATACGGAGGTAGGTTTACGGAACTTAACTTTCGCCAAAGTTCTGTGAATTTTTGCTAGTAGTATTGACGGGGCTTTCCCAAAAAATGTGTCAATACGAGGAAACGCGTCTTATGCACCCCTCCCCCTCCGGCATGTTCACTTGATGGTTTTTATAGATGTCTCAAAATGAATGAGAAGGGGGCGGCAAAATACAGGCGGCTCATGGGCGGTAAGTAGGTAAATCCGACCCTGGTAACGATATATCTTCATATTATTATTTGAATACCACTATTGCTGCTCACGGAAGCTCGTTTTGCCTACACTCTTCAATGAAGGCGGACTTGTATCGATGCGCAGCGTTTAAGTTTTCCTTCCAAGTGCTCAAATGAATATCTCAGAGGAGATCGACATGGAGTGTACCTATCGGAACATTACTGCATTCAACTTAATCTGTTCTCAGGGAGTTCCTCCGTGGATTAAGAACACTCCAGGTTAATTATCATAATCAGCGCACACACGTCATTCGTTCCGCTATCTTTGAATCCGCGCCAAAAATTTACCAAAAACCAAGGGTGCTAAAAGTGTCATCCGGTCGAACGTTTCACGCAATCTGCGATTTTCTCTTCGCTTTTCGCCGGAAAATTTCCTCGCTTTCCTAAACTTTACAGTGTTTTTTTTTCTTCGCTCTCCACTTTTGAATATTTGCTCGAAAACTTGAAAAGATCGATGAATCGTCGGAATTTTTCCCGAAAATTATTTTCGGTTTTGTTTTGGTGAAAAATTTCCTCACCGATCACGCGATCCGAGGACTGCATGATCGGGCAGATTTTGCACCCCTGCCTTCACCCTCATGCGATTCCCGATGGTTCAAGCAGGGGCCGATCATTGAACTTGATAGACGAAGACGACGAAATTGATACGGAGGGATCCTATTGGTAGAGACGGGTGGTTGCGATGGACAAAGGAAGTAGGTAATCGGGGCTACCGCAGTCAGGGAAAACCGGGAAATTTCAGGGAAAAATTCTTGGGTCACCTTTATTTGCTGTCGAGGATGGGTTCGACTCAAGCAACACATTTTGACAGAAAACTATTTCTAATAATGACTTATGAACCATCTCGCGTATCTTCAGGTGTCGCAGGGAATTTCATCAAAATGAGTCGGGGAAATCAGGGAATTTCATATTCTAAATTCTGTGGCAGCCCCGAATAATAGACTAACTAACTGCAACCCACGAGAGACCCTATAGTTAGTCCATCATTTTCTCCCTTAGTCTATCGGAACCACCCATTTCAACCGTTATGATCACTCCATGTTCCTTATAACTTCCTTGTCTATAGTTTTGTCAATCAATTTTAATAATCAGCCCACTAATCCTTACGCGTCGCAGCACGCATCGGACCTCGGGATCTCATGGTTAAGATGGACGACGATTTTAGGGGGGGGGGGCGCATCCCTAATCGAATAATCGTCCCCTTCTGGTTTGCGCCGCGGCGTGAGGCTCGAGGCTTTGCCCCCAATTAGCCAGCAAAATACAACGATTAACTTGATGGCGTCTCACCGCGTTGGCCCTTGGCCTGCCTTCGCCAATTGGGCCAACGCATCGCGCGTCCCGCATAAGATTCCCTCCGCTCAACTTCAACCTCAACCTCTCCGTATTCGAGCTCCACCTCGGGGCAAACATCTATGCCCCAAGTGCCAAACCACGTATCTCCATCGCTGTGTTTGAAAATTTCCGCTCCTTACTCTTTTTTTTTACAGAAAAACAAGATTGCCGTATGAGTTGAAATTCACACAGAATATTCAGCCGTGCTAAGGAAGAACGCCTAATGAACATTCGAGAGGTGCCAAATTTCATTCGATAAAATGTTTGTTTTTGAGTAAAGATATGTATATTTTTCCCTGAAATTTTCTGGAACTTTAGATGAAATTGCGAACAAAATTATCTGAAAAACTGGAAGGAAAATATCAAGAAGTTTACCAGGAATTCGTGTTATATCAAAGGAAATTTGGCAACGCCTGAAGGTTCATACGGCATTCTTCCTTAGCATGGCAGTATTATGCTGACGGAGAGGAAAAATCAAGAAAGTTTTCAAAAAATCGCGCTGACTACTTTTCCAAAAAAAAAATAAACTAGGGATGACAGGAGATCTGCATCGTTGCAAACAGAGAAACGTGGTTTCTCATTTTGACCATCGACATAATATCATAGAAACTACTCGTCCCTTGCGAGCTAATTATTGAAATTGATATAGACACATTAAAGACAAAGAAGACATAGGGAACA